AACGGAACGGAACGGAACGGAACGGAACGGAACGGAACGGAACGGAATAGAATCATTTATTTCATATTATGAATTTCATAATATTACAATTCGAAATATAATGTCAAGGGATAACATGATCGTCATTAATGTAATTTTCTTTCTTTATTACTAAATAATATGTAAGTTTATTTTTGACTTGGAAGTTCTTAATGTCCAACTTATAGTATTTATATGTGATTTATCTACTTACGTTGTGTCTCTCAGTCATCTTCAGCTTGGCCATGCTCATGTTGCAGCGCATGCCGAACATAATGGAGAAACCGAAGCAAGCCAGCAGCGCCACCGTGTACCTCGCGCTTAGACACGGACATTCCGCGCGGATGTATTTATCTGCGATGATCAGTTTGTGAAAGTTTTCTGGTTTTAGTAACTTCAGCAATACACCAGGCAAAATATTTTGGACGGTTCTTCTACGTGCCTACGATCGTCGTGAATTTTTGCCGCCGAAAATGTGTGTCATAGCCATTGACTTTATTTGTAAGTCAATGGTCATAGCATAGAATGATAAGACAAATAGTGTAACATCACACAAATTTAGCACAGCTTATTGTATGTGTGCACGCCGCGCCGCCCGCTGCTCGCCGTGTATGGACGCACACATTCGCATAATCTCGCGCGGTACTCGAGTTGCAAAGTGCGGGTCACGCACGCTTTTCAATATAGAATTGAAAGTTCGTTCGGGGCTTAAAATATTTAAAAATATGTTTCTGTTATTTTTACTACTACAATAATAATAAAGATGATTCTAATAACGCACACACTCAACATAGCCCTGCACTAGGAAAATCCTGTGTCGCGGGTGCCATGGACACACATATAGACAACCACAAACTACACCCAAACTCACGAGAGAAATAAATGTAGGCCATACAAATATTTCTCCCGGCTTGGGAATCGAACCTGGGGCCTCTGCGTGGCAGTCCGGGATGGTAACCGTTCGGCCACGGAGGCAGTTGATGATAAAGGCTTATGTTTCAAGGTGACGGGCGCAGTGGCAGTGCCCCTAAGATCTTTGCGATTTAAAGCTCTGAGTGGCACTGCAACTGCTAGTCGTATCGCTTACCACCACGCGCACGATTTGTTCGTCCTGTCACTTAGTATTATAAAAAAAATTTAAAAAGTCCAACAAACACAAAGAAAAATTTCTTCAATCTGACTGGACTTAACCCCGCGTTTGTTGCCTCACTGTAGCTACTGCTCTTTCCTACTGAACTTGACATCAAGTCATCTCATATTAGGAATTTCTCTATGTGCCCGTTGCAAATAATAAGCTTTCTTTGGGAAGTTTCTTCACTCAGTCAAGGAGCTTTACAGCTACCAAAGACTACCAAAATAATAATGTGACAACCCTACGCTCCGAGCGACGTGTATAATTCGTAAGTATAATTAAACCACTAGTCTTAGGCTCAACTTACACTGGCTCAGAGTCGAAGCGTCTCGTCGCGTCCTGTTTTTCAACTACAATGCTTGACGACTCGCGTCGTCGTGCGACGACTCTCGCACTAGTGCGCCCGGGTCACAGTGTGGTCGACGTCAGACGCCTCACTGCGCTCAAGTTACGGCGCCCGTTTCCATACTTGCATAACACAAATTGTACTTTAATAGTGGGAAAATAGAGATGAATATGCTATAAGGGAAAAACATGACGCGTCGCGACGCTTCGACTCTGCGCCAGTGTGAGTTGAGCCTTATAATACTTTGTAGGTAGTTTCTAACGCATTGGAACCACGAACTCACTAAGAACGCTCATTTCTGCGTAATTGTGTCACACACTTATGTTAGGTTTTTTTGGGGGTTTATTCTTGCACCAGTAATGAACAGTATATGAGTGTGTATAAAAAAACGAAAGTAAATAGCCAGTAAGTGAATAAAAAACATGCGGATTATTTATGTTTTTTGAACCAACTTTAAAAAAGGAGGAGGTTCTCAATTCGACTGCATGTTTTTTGTGTCTGTATGTAATTTTTTATTACTCCGGTATTTGTGAACCGATTTTGATGATTCTTTTTTTGTTGGAAAGAGAGTACTTCAGTATTGGTCATATTTAAATTTGAAGAAAATATTCCACATCTAATGGTCGTATTCTAGAACTCTATCCAATGCTCAAGTCAGGATTGCACTGGCAACACAAGCACTGGAAATACGACCCTAATGGCAAGGACTTGAGTATGATTTCGAGTGCTTTAAACCATACTCAAATCCTGACTTGAGCATTGAGTAGAGTTCTAGAATACGACCCTAAGAGTGGCAATCTAGGGATGAATACGGTTTCGCGCACTTTCATATAACCGATTTCAATAAAATTGGCAAATGAATGTAATTCCATGAACTTTCGAGGTTGTTTTTTTTATAAAAAAATATTGTAATAAATAATAAAATTATAAATGGCTATTTAAATTTAAAGGCAGTCATCAGTGATTAAAACGTTACTTAAGTTTGGTGTACATTTTAATTTTAGGTACCTATTTTTCGTGGCGGTGGCCTATCGGGCGATGGCGGTGTTTCCAGGTCTTCGCCATCATACATCTGGTCGTAACCCTTCTGATCCACATGGAAATTCTCATATTGTGCGTTTCTGTAACAAAAGAAATTAAAAATATTGCATTTTTCTCCACAAATGTACGTAATACTAAAACTACTAACTAATAAAAATAATAAAACAGTTCTTCAGGGTGATTTCTTATCCATACATTTAAAAATCGGCAGAATCAATTTAGAACACTATAGAGATAGAGAAAGATAGAAAAAAATAGATATATTTGTTTGCAAGCATACACGGCATATATGGTTTACAAATTTGAGATTGCTTTTATACCTCAGTGTGTCGCGTCAACAATTGGCATATAAATATTAATTTAGAAATATTAAATAATGTTCGCATTCACTTTTAACGTCGTATTGTATAATATAATTAAAAATAAAAACTATTAAAGTAAGTTATAATAAAAGGAGAAACGCGTTTCAACATAATGAAAAAAATATATTGAGGATCGCTGACTTCAAAATTTAAATATCAAAAACATCATATACCGTATAAAATTAGTTACAAGCAACTCATATAGTACTTTTTCTTAATTAGTGGTGTGGGGTACAATTTCATATTTTCACGTAATACATTATATTAATTAATTTGTGCACATAGAGTAGCACTTCCTTTGGAAATACGTAGTAGTATGCTATGTCGGGTTAAACGGGTAGGAATATCGAGTTAAAAAGAAACGTTTTTAGGTAAAATACGTGTTTATATTTTTTGACAAAGGTGGTACACACCACCTTCAATACTTAATAAAAGTTTAATAAAAGTATGAAAATGATCCTAAATTGTTTCAAACCTCTGTCATATTATAAAGCTCCGTGAATAAATTATTAAATAATTATCGAACGACATTTATAATAGATTATTTTGTCAAAGTAAGTGAACAGTTTCTAAAACCCGGCTCTTATTTAAGCTGTTATCGCGCTTTTGGTTCTTTAAACAGTATTTATGTTACCTAATAAGCACGTTTTTATTTTCCGTATAATTAAACCGATCGGAAGAGGAAGCTCGCACGACAAAATAGAATTAAAATGCGCCTGACATCGCCTATTGCACGGCACCTGTGCTCGTGACAAAAAGATGAGGAGGTAATTGGAAATATCTGGTACAGTCGGCTTCTAAAACCGCTACGTAATTAAAGAGTTTTGCACAAAAGTAAAATACAAAATACAATCAGTAAAAAACCGTTCATTTAAGGATATATAAATTTAAAAAAACAATAAAAAATATTAATATTATTAGCATTATTCATTTACGTCAAAGTGACTAATGACTATGCTTATTGCAAGCAGCTATTTGTTACTGAATATTTAAAAAATGCCTACACTTTCTAAGATATCGCACACCGATCTTAAAATGTCTCACAAGCAAAAAAATCTTATTTTTTAGAAACTCCCTGCTTTCCGGTAACGAACTAGAAAAATTATAGCGATATTATACTGAGCATGAATTCATTTAAAGCCATTTTAAACAACTGCTGACTTTTACTTTTTATTTCCCAAGTTAATAATTTTTGAGTTGTGTCAATTTTAAATCGGTGTACGATATACCGTTCTAATTTATTTCTTAACATCGTTTTAAGGCCACGTCAGCACATGATCCCAAACTACTTTACTATAGAGACCCCCAGAGTTGTGAAACATTGATTTGTTCCACGCTAAAACCTACTAAATCGTTAAATGTATTAACAGCTATTTTTTTCGCGATCACCCTATAATAAAATGATTCGGCTTCATATACTGACCATTTTAAAGGATGCTAAAAAATTGGAACCATATTTATGTACATTTCTTCTTCGGGCAGTAACACAAACTGTTTGAGGCAGCCATCTTTCTGGACTTAATACAGAGCTAGAGTAAAGTAAATGGTTAGAAGTTCATATTTGTACATGCAGACATCGAAGTTTTCGAAACCTGTTCAAAATACAAAATATTTGACAGTAGTACGAATTTCAGTTTAAATTTAAACAGAACTTAGCGGTCTTTGAAATGGGATTGGTACTTTTTGTATTGATATATACCTTTTGCTTGCACCGATCAATTTGACTTTCGCTGTACTCTGGTCATGACACTAAATTTTTAAGAAAAAAACTACTTCTGTTGTATTGAGTGAACAATATTAACACTGAATAATTCCAAAAATTTCGTGCGATTTTTGCCACTAGCTAACTTTAAACCAAAAAAGATTTTTTTTTATGTTACCTTGTTTATGGTGATTTTAAAATAGGCGCTGTTTTAGGCAATGTTTTAAGTTTATTCCTGGAAAACGCCCAGAACTGTTGAATGTTAGCGGTAGTTCATTATGATAATGTCAAACGTCACACATTTTTATAAAGTTTTAAAAAAAATTTCCAGTCAGGTTGGGATGTGTATCCACCGTTTTCACCCGACATAGCCCTTTCAGATTTTCATTTGTTTCGGTCTTTATTAAATTCTTGGAGTGGACGTGATTTTTATAACCGAAGTAACCTAATGATGGCAAAAGATTGTATTTACATACATATAGACATATTTTATTAAAGTTTGATATTCATTTCTTAAATGTTTTTCATTTATACTTTGGTATCGTACGGACTTTTTGGCCAACCCTACACTGATAAGTCTTTTTTATATTCGTCTTCTTGGGATTTAAAAAAGCAATTTTACAACCTGCATATGGTTTTATGTATTTCAGTATATAAAATAAGAAATCAATCACTTGATGTGCTGTCAGACTATAATAGAAGAGTTGCGCTACATGCCGGTGTGTACGCACCCCGCGTGGAATCATTAAGAGTGGAGATTGAATTAACAGACGCTCGCGTCGTAGTACATCAGGTCTCGTTGTTTGCGATCTAATAGCCGTGACGTCAACAATTAACTTACATAGTCAAACGAGGCTTAGGAATAGGGTGACCAAAAATGTGTAAATACATATCATTACACCAGTCGTCCCGTAAATCATTGAGGTAGGTGGAGCTTACGGATCTCCACTTATTACATTCTATCATCTCATTCACTTACATCAGTTTTTTCATATCCTCTATTTCAATACTTTCGACATGACCTTTTTTGAAGATCCTTAGTCTAGTTGATACATATATTAACTACATTGGTGACGCAATAGAACAACTGTGGGACTCTGGATGAGGTGTTCAATTCCCGGTAGGACTAATTTGAGTAATAAATTTTCTAAACAGTTCTGGCCTTGGTGTTCTAAGTAGTGTCCCAGAGTGAATTCCGTTACTCTGGTACTCGTAGTACAAATAAATTCCTAATTTGTGACCAAACATTTGGTACAATCTATTAAATTATGTACGTGACCTCGAGGTCTTCCTTACCTAACGTCTACATTGTAAATGCTTTAATGAATTTTGAAACAAGGAGGCATTTTGATCCTTATTTTGTGTTTATAAAAAGCACGAAGTACGTGACAAAAGTCTATAAATAGATAATATTAATTTATGGGTTTAATGTTTAACTAAGAGGTTTGTTTATTTTGAAGGCATAAACAAAATACTATTCGTTTTGTTCTATTTTATTTGAAATTCAGGCTTGGAGGTGATAATTATCATCATTGACTTACAAATAAATGGACGACGGGTCTAATACAAAAACTACGAAAAAAATGTCCCAAGTCAACCTATTCGAAATTTAAATTGTAATGTCATCGCAGTATCGCGCTGTCCGTAGAACAAATGAAGACTAAAGCGGAGTTTGGCGCTCTGTATACGATTTTAGCGCCTTACAAGTGCGGACACTTTTTAGCGCGGACCCGACGTCCATATAATTGTAAGTCAATGATTATCATTGATAATTTTTCCAAATACTTTTTCCGTGTTTATTTAGTTTTCTCACTGTTGTCATTTTTAATCAATAGTTGAAGAGACAAATAAAGAGTCAGCACGGATATTTATCGGATACATATCGGATAACTATCAAAGAAAAGTAATACCTATCTTGATCATTCCAAACACTAACTTTCATGTTATTTTACCTAAAAGAATGGTGTGGTTATAATACGGTTAATACATTGATCCAAAGGAATCTTCTCCCCAGATTCTCATTATCAAAAATCCGTAAAATGACTCAGTATAATTTGTAATTTAAGTCAGAATTGAGAATCGGCTTTCGACGATAGAGTCATCGGTGTGTGAATTCATTTTTCCGCTGACAAAAGTGATAAACGCGGCTATCTGTCGTCGCTAGTCCCCCGTTGTAATGAATCGTAGCATAAAAGGCATAACTAAGTGGAAACAGGACGGGAGCCGCCCCTCAATGCATGTTAGCAACCGAAGTGTTACAAGAGATATGAATATAAAATTCCTTTATTAACACGGCATGAAAAATAAGCACAAGACCGGTCGTTGTGACTATGTTTGGGGATCCTTTGTCCAGCAGTGTACATCTTTCGGCTGAAAGATGATGGTGATAAATAATTATTACTGTATTTCCCACTCTCAAATTAGGGAATTCCTTATACTATGAATACCAGAGTAGCAGAGCGAGGGCACTACCCGGAACCAAACCGTAACAAATTCAGAATAGTTTAGAAATAAACTTTTTCTTCTCCTTTACTTTAATCTGCCAATTATAATTTCATAAGCAATATCTTAAAGACTTTTTAATGAGTTCTGAATCAAAATTATATTGTCTATGGTACACACCATTGAGCTGAAAAATACTGTACACAGAACTATAATGAGTTTCAAAAAAAGAACAACGTATTATTGCTAATTAAAATATTAGGACGCTACCATTGACTTACAAATAAATGGACGACGGGTCTAACACAAAAACCACGAAAAAAATGTCCCAAGTCAACCTATTCGAAATTTAAATTGTAATGTCATCGCAGTATCGCGCTGTCAGTAGAACAAATGAAGACTAAAGCGGAGTGTCGCGCTCTGTATACGATTTTAGCGCCTTACAAGTGAGGACACTTTTTAGCGCGGACCCGACGTCCATATAATTGTAAGTCAATGGACGCTACTCAAACCCTATACCGCCTCCTGATTGGCTAAATTGGCCTAAAAGTCTTGCAACGGGGCCATAAATCTT